ACATGGTATTACATTATTAGAGGATTTAATTCAAAAGCATTATGTATCGGTTGGAGGTAAAAACAAATTTTACGATGGATCAGTATCATCAATATCAATCATTGAATCCATCAGAGAAGATCCAGAGTTAGATTCTTCAAAAAAATTAACGACCAACGAAGCATTGAAAAAATTTGGACCAAGAGTTGTATTTTATTTAAATATAGTCGAGCAATTAAAAATATATCTTAGTAATGTTTCAAGTATATTTACAAAACTTCGAAATTTTAGAATAGATTATAAATTAAAAGAAAATGAAAGGTATTTATAAATTCAAAAAAAAATAAAAGAAAACTGCATATATAATAAAACTAACTTTTACCAATATTACTAATTTAGATTAAGTAGTAAAGCAATTCTCAATTTAAGTTCAAGTGTAGCACCAACACCATCATCAACATTTAAAAAAAAAGACGATTACGATTATGAAGAAGACGAAGTCGAGAAAATAAAATCAAAGCTATATGATAATGATGATGATACAGAGTTTGATGAAGAAGAGTTATTAATTTATGAAAAACAAAATGTAGAATTAAAAGCAGAGTTAGAAACATTATCGGATCAAATAGAGTACGATATAATATTTCACATATTGTTAAAATTTGAATCAAAACTAATTCTTTTTTTCATTTCCAATCATTTAGGGTTATTAATCGTCAAGTCGAAGAGTTATCGCAATTATTTGATGAAATAACACCACATATTTTAATTCACAAAGAAGTTATTGAAAACATTTATAGTACAAATGTGGACGCTACAAATTATATATCAAGAGGTAATAACAAAATTTATGAAGCGACAAAGAAAAGTTTTGATTTTAGGGTTATGGTATTACTATTTTTAATTATTTGTTCATTGGGTTTATTATTTTTAAATTGGTATCAAGATTAATAGTCAATACTAATCAATTATAACAATCAATGGATAATTAATAATCAAAAAAACAAAATTATTATAAAAAATAAACAAGAAATAAAATCCAATACGAGATATCTAAAACATTTCCCTTTTTTAATTTTTTTTTTATTTTTTTAATTTTTTTTTTTTTTTTTTCTTTTTTTTTTAATTTTTTTTAAAAAATTGGGTAACTAACTCTCCGTCCATTATTCATTTTTTTTTTTTTTTTATTTATAAATTAATTTTAAAATAAAAATATTTTATTTATAATTTTATTTGTTATATATTTGTAATAGTAATAGTATAAAAAAATAAATAATAATAACAGCACATGGCAAAAGAAAAAAAATTAAAATTACCAATACAATTGTCGGATTATAAAAGATTATTAGAAGTCAGTGAAAGAAGAGGCTTTGCAGAAAAATATAAGCGGGTAGAGTACAGTCCAGAGATTGAAAGTTCACTTAGTTTAAAAGTTAAAATCAATAAAGAAAACATATTTGAAGATGCATTTCAAAAATATGACCATTTTTTAATGGACATGGCGCTATTGGCACATAATATAGCCATTTCAACTGAAAATCAAGATATAGAACAAACTAAAAAATTAGTTTTAGATATATTATCATTGGTTTCAACATCTGCAATTGATATCGGGATTTTAAAAAATAAAATTAAAGATAACAACGATAAAGATAAAAATAAAGAAAATAATAGTAATGGTAATAGTAATAGTAATAGTAATAGTAATAGTAATAGTAATAGTAATAGTAATAGTAATAGTAATAATAATAATAATAATAATAATAATAATAATAATAATAATAATAATAATAATAATAATAATAATATGAATAATAATAATAAATTAGATGATAAAAATAACACTGTTTTAGAAAATAATAATTTAGAAAATAAAAAAAATAAAAAAATAAATAATAATAATATTGAAGATTTAAGAAATGGTTTAAATAAAATTATTAGTAATTTTGACAATTTAATGAAAGAAAATAATGATAATAATATGAATACCAATAATAACAATAACAATAACAATAGCAATAGTAATAATAGTAATAATGATAATAATAATAAAAAGAAAAAGAAAAAAGATATTGAAAAGTTAGATATATTACCAACTGCATCAAATGTAATAGTTTCTCAAATTGGATTATCAAATGAAATTGTTATTAGCGAAAGACCAATAGAAACTTCAAATAGTGCCACTAGCGAAACTTCATCAATAGCTTCAGAACCCTTAGCAACAACTATACAAGATTTAAATAAAAAAATTAAAAAAAAGAAAAAAGAAAAGAAAATTAAGAAAGTCGAAACTGAAGTTGAAGTTGAAAATGAAAATGAAGATGGTCAAGAGGATGTTAAAAATGAACAGGATAATAATAAAGTAAAGAAAAAAAATAAAAAGAAAAAAGGTCAACAACTGGTAGAATCAACAGATTCAATGGATTCAGTAAATAAAACAATATTAACCAAAACCACTACCACTACAACTACAACCACAACCACTACAACAAAGAACAGCTATATTAGTATAAACCCTGAAGAATTAATCAAAAAATTTGAAAATTTAAAAACAATCAATAGTAGTATTTATAAATTAAAAGAAAATGAAATTTATGTTAGAAAAGAATTAGAAGATAAAATTCATGTTATTAAAACAATGGAGAGAAATTTAAAGAAAATGACAACTAAAATTCATAAAATGAAGAAAACTAACAAAGCTGACGAAATAGAATTACAAAAGGAAAAAGTTCAAAAAGAAGTAGAGGAAATTAAAAAAGTTTATCAATCATTTAGCCAATCTATTAAGCAGTATTCAGTAGGTTTAATCCAATCCAACAAAAGCAAACCTTTATTGGAAAGTAATAAAATCCCAGACCTGGCTTACTTTAATGATAGTTTAGCAAAGTTCTTCAACGAAAACAAATGTACAAATCAAAACCGTTTTAAAGCCTTTGAAAAACTTTGTTTTGTATTAAAATCATCATTACATGTTAGAGCTCATCTATTTGGTTCGTCTTTGAATGACATGGCACTAAAGCAAAGCGATATTGATATTTGTTTGGTAAATGATAAACCAAACAAAAAGTTTTTGTTCATTGTATCATCAATTTTAAGAAAAAGTAGGTATTTTATTTAGCATATAATAAATAATCTATTCAGATTTACTAATTTATTATTCAATCATTATTATTATTATTAGATAATTACGAAAATATTATAACACTTAGTCATACTAGAATACCTTTAATTAAATTATTTGATCCAGAGTACAACATCAATATTGATTTATGTTTAAACAATCTATTAGCAATCGAAAATTCAAAATTAATAAAAAGTTACTCATCAATTGACCCAAGATTTCAAGTATTGTATATGTTAATCAAAGCATGGGCAAAAGCTAAGGAAATAAATGACGCTGCAGATGAATCGTTGTCATCATATTCGTATGCAAATTTAGTAATCTTTTATCTTCAAACATGCACTCCACCGGTTTTACCATGTCTTCATAAAAACACAGAATCACTCCCAAAGAGAACCGTAGAGAATTCAGTCGTTGCATTTCATCAAGATCCAAAAGCTTTAGGTTTTGTTACTAAAAACACTTTAACCGTTGGTGAACTCTTTTATGATTTCTTATGCTTCTATTCAACATTCGATTTTAAAAGATATGCTATTTGTATTAATAAAGGTCACATGGTGGAATTGAAAAATTGCCAAAAAGAACTGTTAGTCGCTCCAGCCTGTATTTACATTCAAGACCCTTTCATATTTGACTTTAACCCTGGTAAATCAATGACCGAAAAGAATTTCACCAAATTATTGACAGAGATTAATAAAACAATTTATATTATCTCTAATGGTATAAAAGATTATGGTTTCGATCAAATCTTTTCTGAACCATCTTTATTATCTCTCAGTAGTAATGTAAAGCAACATAACTTGACTTTAATATTAGATAATAATGATGGTGCTATGGATAATAATAACAATATAGATAATAGTAATATTAATAACAACGAGAAATTGGACAAAAAAAAGAATTAAACTAGTTTAATGTTGGGTTAGTTTTAGAAATAATATTGCTTCAAGATTATCCATTTTTTTTTTTTTTTTTTTTAAAATATTCCATTTTTTGTATTGTAAAAACTATTATAATAGTTTAGTAATTAATATTAATTTAAAATAAATAAATTATTATAATTTATAAAAAAATATCAACAAAACCATTATTTTTTTTTTTTTTTTATAAAGATTTATTTAAATTTATATTTATTTAAATAGTAGATCCTACTGGTCAAAATTTTTTTTTTTTTTTTTTTTTTTTTTTATACCCTAAAGGATTGGGGGGGAACTGGGGGGGCTACAATTTTTTGGGGGGAACCCATAGCACTGTAATAAGGTAAAACCCCTCCTGGAATAGTTGGGGCTAATAAAAGTCCACCTGAATCTTTGAACTGGGTTAAAATTGGAGCTTGGCCCAACATCAGTAGGAATATTAAAGTTTAATGAAACTAAAATACCCATTTTGTTTGGAGTATGGTAGGCAATAGATAAACCACGTTGATTGTAAATTGAATTATATTTTTTAATTACTTCATCAATGTCTTTATATAACTATTTTTAAATTTGTTAATAAAATTATTAGCTATTTATAATTTAAATTAATTATAATAATAAATAATTACTCTTGAAGAATGTTTTTGCATATCAGAATAGAACCAAAGCATTGCTGGGAAGATGAGAATTACACCAACTAAAGCAATGCAGAGGAAAATTGAAATCCAGAAAAATTTATATGATGTTTGATTGAATGGTTTAATACAGGTATTATTAATATCATCAATCATTGCATTAAATTCTTGATATGAGATATAATTGTAGAGTTTGTTATCATAAATTTTTTTCCAACCTTTGAAACCTGCCTAAATTTTATAAAAATAAAAAAAAAAATTAGATATAGTTTTTTTAATATAAAAAAATAATATATATTTACACTTCTAAAAGTTAAAGGGTTTTGTTCTAAAAGAACATTTTTAAAATTTTTATCGATTGGTTTGGTCTCAGAGACTAATATTCTTGGGTCTTCAATGAGCATTGAATCAGCGAATGGTGATACTAAAATAGCATTACCTAGACCACCCTCAAGAGCAACGGTTTGATTAGGTACTGAGGTAGGAACATCTGGGTATTTAACAGTCATAACTACATTGGCACTAAAATCCATTTTGTAACTAATTACAACTTGTCTATTTGAAAGAACTCTATTGATATTTTCTAAACATTTATCTAAATCTTTACATAGTTTCTTTTTGAAGCTAGCCCATCTAAAGATTTCGACAATACCAACAATTATTACAGGTAATAAGCCGACAAATGCATATGCCATAACACTAAAATAATAATAATATTAGTATAAAAGGTTAATTTGTTGAATAAACTATAATAGTAGTGTTTTATAATTTACCCCCAAATATATGTAACATAAGTACGGATACCATTATTGTTTAAAATTTCAAGTGCTGTAACAAATTCTTTTACTGGGACCTATAAAATATTATATTAATAAATGAAGAAGTAAATGAGGGTTTAAAATTAAAACTTACTATACCAGTTAGCTCTCTTGGAAATGATTCTTCAAAACCATTGAAGGTTGCTGCTCCAGCTTGTGAATGAATTTCTAATTTTCCCATTGTTATTTGTTTATTTGTTTTTGAATAATAAAAGAATGTTTTTTTTTTATTTTCTTTTTAACAAAAACAAAAAATATAAAAATAAAATTTGTGTTTTTTCAAAAACTTAAAAAAAAAAGATATTTAAAAATTTAAAAATTTGAAAAAAAAAAAAAAAAAAAAAAAAAAAAAATAAATTCAAATAAATATGCCACTGTTGGGCAAAAAAAATATTTTTTTGAAGCAGTTTAAATTAAGTCATGTTGATGTAATTTGAAAAAACTTAAAAATAAATAAAAAAATATTTTTTAAATTGTGGAAATCACAACGGAAAAAAACCTCTTGATTAAAAAAAAAAATTAACCTATAAAATTTTTAAGTTGCTTAATTGCAAGTAAAAAATTTTAAGTTTAAAAAATTTATTTTTTGTGCAACGTGGCAAAAAAAATATTATAAAAGATAAAAAAATTTTTTTAAAAAATATATACATATTTAGTTTTTATTTCTTATTTTTAAGATTTGGGTTTTTGGTTAATATATAAATTAATAAATAGATGATTAAATTCGAAACCCTTTGCGCTTTTTTTTTTTTTATACTATTTGTTTTTATATTTTTAATTTTATATATTATTATTATATTATTATATTTTAACAGTTTGGGAAATTATTAATTGGTAATGAGTGGGAATAATTATTAAACTGATTAGGGGAAGCAGGTGAGGACGAAGCACTATTGCTTTGTAAATATCTAGCTTGAATTGGTGTTTGATAATAGCCCATTGGATTATAATTGGTGTTATAGTTCATGGAGTTCATATCCAAACCATTAATATTTTGTGGTAAATATTGTTGTGGTGGAGTTGAGGTACCTTTGTTTATATCTTTTCCAAGAAGTCTTCTATCAATATCTTTATCTTGGATTTCATAAATATTATCTGCATAACTATTGGCACCGTTTGGAGCTAAAAATTGATCGTTATATCTTGAATTTACTTGTTGAGGTGAGTGTTGTTGTAATTGTTGTAATTGTTGAAGTTGTTGGTGTTGGTGAACTTGTTGTGGTACTTGTTGTTGGTGTTGTTGTTGGTGTTGTTGTTGTTGTGGTACTTGTTGTTGTTGTAAATGTGAAATAGGATTACTATTAATATTATTATTGTTATTATTATTGTTATTATTATTATTGTTGTTATTGTTATTGTTATTGTTATTATTATTATTATTTGTAATTGATGGGGATGTTGGATTATCTGGAGTATTAAGACATGATTGAATAAGATTTTTACCTTCTGGTCTAGTAATTAATGGTTGTAATTTAGTGGTTGCAAAGGTATATACATGGCCAGTTTCAGAGGCGACTAATAATAAAACTTGAGTACCTGTAAGGGTTGATAGCTCATAAGCTTTTTTCATTATACCGGCTTTTCTTTTGGAGAATGTAATATGTCTTCTACTTTTATCATCGATAAATTCAATTTTAATCTTTCTTCTTCCGGCTTTTTTACCAGAGATTTCAGTATTTGGTGATGATGGTTCACTTGTGTTGTCTTCTTTTTTGATCATTTCTTCACTTGTGCTAGTTGGAGTTAATGAGGATGAGGTTGATGTTGGTGATGATGGGTTTCCGAGACTATATCCAACTAAACCGTTTGTGTTAATATTTGAAACTTGTGAAATGCTCATAATTGTTTAAAAAATTATTTATTTTGTTTTTATAAAATATTATTGTTACTATAATAAAATTTGGTTGATTGATGATTATTAAATAAAATTATTATTAAATATTAATTTTATTTCGTTATAGCTTATTATTATGATTTTTATTATTATAATATTATTATTATTGTTTTTGTTATTATGAAATAAATAAATAAATTGGTATGAAAAAATTATTATTTAAATAGTAAGTTTTTTTTTAAAATTTGATTATATAATATACAAGGTTTTTTAATATAAAATAAATAAATTTTTCTAGATATAATATTAATAAAAAGATGATTTAGATTAGGAATATTGTATTATTATTATTATTATAAAAGAGAAAAAACAAAAAGGTGACGATGAAAAAGTTATAGTGATGAATTATACAATTAATACCCTAATTTCGATTGTTTTGGTTGGTGATGTGTTAACTGATTAAAGAGTATTTAAAAAAGTATTTATATAAATAAATTTGGAGCTTGTGTGATGATTATTGTTGCTTTATATTAAACTACTTTAGAACTATAATAATTAAATAGATAAAAAAATAAATTAATTTGGTTAGTTTATACGTATATAAAAATGAAATTAAATTATTTTTATTAAATATAGTAAAAAAAATAACAATAACACAAAAATTGAATAAAAAAAAAAATTAAAAAAAAAAATTAATTTAAAGCTTTTGTTATTTTGTATATACTATATAATTGATGATCAATATTTGTATAACAATAAAAAAAACGAGAAATTTTTAAAAATAATAAAGAAAAATTGTTAATTATTTTAATTTTTTTTACCCCTCTGTATAAAAAAGGTAAAAAAAAAAAATAGTAAAATCTAAAAAAAATAATTTTAATTTACAATATATTGATTGTGGAA